CTCCTTTTTTTTCCCCCCTTAAGTACCAGAATGAGGTCACAGTCAGAGATGCCACAAGAGTAAATTGAAAACAGGTTGAAAAAAAGCAAAAGGGAGAAAGACAGGGAGAGAAAACCACAATCAGGAGAAAGCGCCTGGTAACGATGCAGGGTTGGTTTCATCCAGCCCAGYAAAGAAGCTGTCAAGACAGAGACATTGGTGCCTTCCTACTTTCCCCTTTGTGCTCTTTCTAGGAATCCTGAAGGTGAATGGCAGCAGGGAGGTCTCCTCTCRTCTTAATTTCCACTTTGGTTTGCAGCGCCTGGGTTTTCTCCGTGCTGCTTTTGGCACGGGGACGTGGGCTGAAGGTGTGGGAACGCCTGCGAGGGTCCCAGAGCTTCCTTTTGCTCCTCGAGCCTCCTGGAGGCTCCTGGCCTGGCTCTCTTGTTTAGTCTGGTGGAGCTCAGCGCCGTAGCTCGCCTTGTCCTCGCCGGGATGGTTGATGGGTGATTCATCCAGCCCGCTGTCCGCAACCGCTGGGCGCTGGCACGGCCGCAGTGGAAGGACTGAGGCAGAGGGAGGCTGCTGGATGCTGTGTGTGAGCAYTCTGAGCCTGCTCCCAGCCATTTCCACTGCTCAGCTCCCGTTCCTGCCCGCTGGAGGAACATTCCCCTCCAGCCACGGGAAATGCGCTGGCTGGAGAGCTCAGCCTTGCAGACAGGCAGCTGGGCCGGGGGTCTCCTCCTCCTGCTTCTCTTCCTCCTCCTCCAGACATGGAGTTGAGTTCTCAGGGGCTATCCCAGAGTGTCACCAGAGGGTTGACCCCTGGCCATGCCCGCTGYGGCCAGGAGAGGTTTGCAAAGCTCCCCAGAATGGGGCTGATCCCTCTGTGAGCTCCAGGTGTGTTGGTGTTTTCTTCTGTTTTCAGCAGAGCCACACCACCAGAGCCAATGTGCAAAACGTTTAGAAAACCAAAAAGAGGAGATTTTTCCAAAGTCCACAACCGTGCCTGCAAATGAGGGTGAGTCTGTAGCAAGGGCTTGCATTGGAGAGAGAAGGGAGATGCCACCTGGAGGGAGCTGTGTCTTCCTAGAGCAGAGATGGATTTTCAAAAGCTGCCTGGGAAAGTAGATGGYTTGGAGCAGATCAGTCCTGGGAAGGCATGGAAATGAGAGGGAATATTAACATTAATATTAATTAATAGAATTCCTAATATTAATATATTAATTCCTGATACTTAGAGGTGTCAGCATCCCATTGCTGAGCACAATTTCCCCATAATCTGTGAGCAGCAAGTGACATATTTTCCTCCGTGCGCAGCATTTCCCATGGTGATATTGAGCTCTGCTCTGTGTTTTTTTACTACTGAGAAGTGAACACAGGTGAGGCATCCTCAGAGGAGCCAGTTATTTGTCCTTGATATCTGTAACAGCTTATTGCTTTATTTAGTGTGACATCAATTATTTATTACTATTAATGAAGGACACAGATGTCTGTCTGGTCAATAAAATATCTCCKACTCCACAGAGATGATCTACTTAGCTATCATTTACTCTGCAGAGAACCTTTGGATTCTTTCTGAAATTTAATAACGCGAGCAAAGATACTCAGGCAATCTAGAAGGTTTGTACTCCGGGGCTGCTCTGGGAGGCTGAAATCCTTCTTTATATTTGCTGGCGGGGTGTGTGAGAACACAAGCCCAGACGGGAAAAAGAAGCCCCTTTGCTTTCCATCACAAGCTACTTATCCGTGTAATCCCTTTTATAAAGTGATCAAACTCTTTCTTAAAAGATGGTTGGGTTATTTGCCCTTCTCAGGAGGAGACCARCCATTTATCCACGTCCAATTTCCTTCCTCTTGCCATTACTGCCCATTAGCCCAACTATTCCTTTTCCATCTGAGTGCCTGCCCTGTTGATGTGTTCACAGTTGTGTTTCTCTATTTGGCCTTTTTTTTCCTGTTTTTATTGGTGAATTTGGGCTTTTTGTTCTTTCCCTGTGAAGTCTTCTCTCCTGTTTTTCCTGTGCCTTGGTCATGAGCACAGTTGAGGAACGCTGTGTGCTGAGCTCTCACATGGCCTGGTGYAGCTGGGTCAGTGTTCCCCTGCTGCTACACGATCCCAGGATCACTTTTCCTTGGCAGGGCAACATTAGTGGTCAGTCAAGTGGCCCAAGWGTCCAAAGCCATGTTGGACAGGGCTTGGAGAAACCTGCTGGGGTGGAAGGGGGTGAAAGGAGGTGACCTTTAATGTCCCTTCCAATCCAAACCATTCTGTGATTCTGTGATAATTCTCTCACCRTTCCAGCAAAAGCAGCTGTTGTTGCCTTATCTCTGTTCCACTGACAAGGTCCCAGTCTAAATCTAGTGAATAAATTTCTGCTCCTGAAGAAGGCATAAGAAGTTTAATTCCAGGTGTTCTCAGAGCATTGTGGACCGAACAGTCTCTGCCTTGTCTTGTATGAGATGAACAAATACAGTCTCTGAGTGCTCTGCTTTGCCCAGGGGAGAGCACAGAATTGCAGCTCCCTTTTCTGGCTGCAGACTGACAGCTCTGGGTGGTTGTCCTGTCCCCAGAGCATCCCTTCCCTGTCTCTGCTCCATGGTCCRTGCAGTCTGGCACCACCAGTGATCTCACTGCTGCTAATACAGGTACAGAAAAGCTCCCAGCCTTGGGCCTGAGGTTCCAGCATCTTTGTTGGCATCTATTTTGCTGTTTTCATAGCAACCTCTTTGCTTTGGTTTTGTTACAGCAGAGCCAACAAGAGGGGAGAGTTCCCAGAGGTTCAGGATTGAGCAAAAAGCACCCTCTTGTTTTGTGGATTTTATTGCAAGAGTTTTGGCTCAACCCAAGTGGACACACTGTTGGCAGACCCTGAAAGCTTTATTTCCTCCTGTGCAGGGAGACAGAAATGCACTCCACTGCCTGGGTAGGTCTGATCCATGGCAAACCATGATCCACTGTGGGAGGTAGCTCCTGCTGAGTGTCAGAGCAGTGCTCACTGCCAACCTGCTCCCTCAGAACTACCTGGAAACACCATGGAAGATGAACCTTCAGAAGTTAGTGGRTACCTTAGAGAGAGTTAGCTGTGCAATTTTAATCAYAGAATGGTCTGTGTTGGAAAGGACCTGAAAGCTCATCTCATTCCAACCCTCTGCCAGGGGCAGGGACACCTTCCACCAAACCAGGAYGGTCCAAGCCCTATCCAACCTGGCCTTAATACATTCTTTGATTCAGTGGTTGCACATGACATTTTCCATCTCATTTCCAGTCTCCTGCATGTCTGGTCCCACCCTCTCCCTGTCTCAGCCCGTCCCATCTCTTGTGCTCCCTGGCACAGATGTCCTGGCTGATGCTCCTACCCAGGGACTGCCCAGTCCAAACCTCCCCTCAGCCTTGCCCAGCTCCCATCACAGCTCTCTTTTCTTTCCTAGCCCTCACCAGCTGCTTACAGGAAGGTGTGAGATCCCCCAGCATTCATCCATGGAATAATTGGTCCCCCTGTGAAGCTTCTTTGTGGTCAGAAGGGAGGTTTCTTGAGGTTGGAAGAGCCTTAAAGCCCCTTGCTCTACTTCAACAGCACATTCTGGTCCTGCTTCTTTGTTGGTGATTCATCAGGTTTGTTCCCAGTGACTCCTGGTGACAGGGAGTTCCCCAATCCAGCCCGATGTCATAGGAAAAGGGATTGAAATGAAAGTTGGAAATGAGCAATAGGRGTTTGTTTGTTTGCTTGAACCATAAACCCGGAGCTGAGGGACTTGCTCAAGGCTGGGCAGCGCTCGTGACTTCCAGGCAGGGATTTTCCTGCTGCCAGCCCAACCTGCCCGTGGAGCTGTCTTGGGATTTGGGATGGACCCGGGGCCAGGAGCTGGGCTGAGCTACAGAGGCCGGTGACAGAGCTGCCTGAAAAAGTTTGGAAAGAACAAGTCGTGCTGGGAGCATTAAAATGAATAATTAAGGCTTGGATTCCTTCAGGGAGGAAAAGAATTTATTGCTGCTCTTTTCTCTAGCCAAGGGGGACATTTGTTACTGAGTTGTGTATTTTGAGACAAGACGCAAATGCGGTTTAGGGGGATGGGGACAAGRGGATTTTTTTTTCTTTCTACCTGGATAATCCAGCTTTACAGTGGGATGTTCTGGGCTGGTTATTCCACTGGGTTGGTCTGTATCAAGAACCTGGCCTGGTGCTTTGTTTCAGTAGTCCTCAGTCATTTGTGCTTTTAGAAAATTAAAGTGCTGAGGAAGGAATTCTCCTCCTCCCTCTGCTGCCRTGTCTTGACATTTCCACGTGCACARGGTGCCYGGCACAGCAATCTGGGCCCAGCTTGGCTTAAACCAGCACAACTCCATCACCTACAGCAGCCCTTGCTGCGATYCCCATCACTGRGGCACAGCCTGGGCAGCTCCTCTATCTCATTTTCCTCAGTGGTACCTTGGGTTTTCAGTTCCACTAGCATGAAATGGGAATGAAATGCAATGAGCTCTAACCAAAAGACAGGCTGCCCACTGCGAGGAGACAGGTTGCACAGCAGTGGATGGTCATGCCCAAAAAGCTTAATAAATGGAGCGTTTTCAGTTTCAGCTGGGTCATGATCTAAGTGTTTAATAGGCTTTATAAACCAGAAGACCAAAAAGAAAGGTTTTTCAGTATTTTTAATTAGTGGKTTTTTTTTCTTTGAGTGCTTATAAAGAGGCAAGTGTTCTTCAGCACAGTTGAAGGAGCTCCAGTCAAAGCTCCARGAGTTGGCAGACTGCAGATGAAAGGGAATGCAAAGCTACTGACTGTCATTAAATTAAAAAAAATAAATTAAAAATCCATCACATTGAGAGCAATTCCATCCAAGCACTAAAAATGTCTCTTTTTCTGTTAATCCAACATAGCAGAAACACATTTTGCTGTGGCGGGTGTAATATTTTGGAAAAGGTCCTGTGTAGAGATGTTCCTCCAGTGTTTTTTCGATGGCCAGCAGTAATTGTGCACCTGTATTGATGTCCTGGTCTCGCTCCTCTCTTTGCTCTGCAGGAGAATCCTTGAGTTTTGCGGATGATTTGCTCTCTGGCCTGGCAACCTCGTGTGTGGCAGCGGGTCGGAGCCAYGGAGATGTCCCTGAAACCAGCCTCTATTCGGTCATTTTCAAGTGCCTGGAACCAGATGGTCTGTACAAGTAAGGAGAGACGTGTGGGGAGCTGCTGGGGGCAAGGAGGGATCTCCAATGCTGTTTTTTAATTGTTATTGACCCTTTTGGTCAGCASTGTGTTACACCAGGCACAGAACAAATGGTGGGAGTCTTCCTGTTGCTTTGGGTGTTACACTCAGCYGGTGAAATGGAAAAGCAGTGTCTGCCAGTACAGAGCTGGAAGCACTGGGAGCCGATGGCAGACTCCAGGATAACGCCCATTTTCAGTGTTATGGGTTTCCTGGTCCGTGCCTGGTGGACAGGGTGGTCTCTCCTCGATGGGCTGAGCTGATGTGATCAGATTGGAGCAAGGTGCTGGGTGCCTGGTGGGATGAAATAGATGCCAGAAGTGTTGCAGGTGTTCCTGCAAACTGCTGTTCTCTTAGCAGGAYGTACAAATCAGAGAGAGACACCAAATCCCTCTGCCCACCACCCTGATATTGTGCACACTTGACTCTGTGGAGATATTTTTGGGGGTTGGATTTTCTGTTTGAATCCTGTGGAGTAATTATTTTCAGGAGCAAAGGGATGATGTCAAGATCTGAGTTTTAACTTCTCCTTTAATATCATTTGGGCAGGRTCTGGGCTTTCCAACCTGGCTCGTTAGCTAGGGCATCCTCTGTCTTGAGAGAGATATCAGGAGTCAGATCAGTAAGAGAGGAAAAACAGAGCAAAGAGGCAAGGAGACAGAGGAGAGACAGAGTAAGCAAGACAGAAACACCCAGGGCTTAATGTCAGAGCGACTGCAATAATTAAAACACATTTTGTAGTGAGTAATGAAACTTTTTATGGGACCACAAAAGCATTTAAAGCGAGAGCTGGCAAATAGTCTGTCAGCGAGAACTTTTTAAGACCTTGATTAATACTTTCCCTCYACCACCCCCAGTTAAGTATGTTGACAGCCTCCAAAGCCTTTATTGCACATCCCTGGAGCTCTGTCTCCAGGACTGGGCTCCAAGAGATACCTCTTGCCATTTATTAATATCAGACATTTTCTTGTTAAATACCTATAACACATAAATATAATTATTAATATCTCAGGGAGCTGGGCTGCTCTGAAAAGGTGCCAGGGTGAGGCTGGAGCAGCTGCAGAGCTCACCAATAACCCAATGCCCATAAAACTGGCCCGTTGTGAGCTCTCAGCTCCTGGCTGCCAGGGGCACTGGGAGAGGGAAGAACCSTGGGTTTGATGGAGGCTCTGCCGTGGTGAGCACACGGAGCTGGGAGCCAGCAGGTCTGGCTCTCGGGCAGCCCGGGCTGCCAAATCATCCTCCCCATCTGCCAGGCGGGGGTGATTGCACCCACCCGTGGCTCTAGGGGCTCTGTGATCTAATTCCTGGTGCCTGCAATGGGCTGGRAGAGCCTTGGGTGGAAGGCAGAGGGCTTTGTCCAGGGTTTTGTCATCCCTGTGGTCAAAGCCAGGCTCCTGCTTCCCRGTCTGGAGGCACGCTGCCATGGAGGCGATCAGCAGAGCTGGCCATGCCCTGTGCCTGGGGTGGATCCTGCTCTGTGGGTGCTCCTGGGTGAAGGACAGCAGCTTTTGTGGGGTGTCGTGGCTGCAGGCAGCCAGAAGGCAGCAGTGCCCTGGCACCAGGGAGCTTTGGAGCTCCTGGTGTGAGGGGACAGCCCTGGGGTGAGGCACAGCGCTGGCTCTGTCCCACAGCCAACACTCCGCAGGGCTTGGCTCGCTGCTAGTGGGGCAGTGACACCCATCAGCATCCAGGATTGGGCTCATGTGTGTGTGGGCACCTCTGGGGCATGGACCCCAGCTCCTGGGCATCCCAAAAAATGCACATGGGCACAGCCCAGCACCTCCTCCTCACTGCTGTCCCGTGGCGTGGGCTGACAAACCCCTGCCCCACGCCAGGGTGAGCTGCCCTGGGTGCTGTGCACCCAACACACACSGGTTTGCTCCAACCTGGGCCCTCCCCAGCGTGTCCTGAGCGGTCTCAGGCACCCCCAGTAAATATCCCTGTGCTCAGATGTCCACACGGTTGCAACACAGCGTGAAGAAAGCCAGAGCAGTGAAATGTGAGGCTAACGCTGCTCTGCGCCCGCACAGACAGAACAACAACACAARCACGGGCACGGGGTCATTTCTTAAATTGAATTTCTTCTGCTTGTTTCATTWGTTTCTGTGGAAAAATAGCTATCTCTAATAGCCCTGGGCTGGGTATAGTCTGATTATAGCCACTTGCAAGGCCCTGTGCTGTTCTCTAGGCTGGGAGGTGAGCCTGCAGCASCAGAGCTCTTCAAAACAAATGATTTGCTTCTACAGTAGTGTGAGGGTGTCACATAACCCCAGCAAGGGGACTGTGACATCGTRGGAGTCTCTTTTGTCCTGTAAATATGTCAAACATCCTGTCCCCTTCTTTCTGCAGTACCTACAGCAATTACACTCTGCTGTGGATCATTCGTTTGGAGTATTACCAGCCCGAGATCAAAGCTGGGCTGGAGTATGAAAACAAACCCAAAAWATGTTCTACAAGCAAACAAATAAACAAAGTCTGACTGATTCCTCTGCTTCTGTAATTCCAAAACATAAATGAACAAAAGGAGAACTAATTTCTTTGTCTTTTGCAGTTTCAGTCTGACGAAARTATGTTGCCTATCAGCCCTTTTCTTCCCCTTGCCCATAACAYATTGGGGTGGAGGTGCCAGTCCCTGCAGAGAGGGTTTTTCAGGGAAAAWAGATCAYRTCAGCAAAGTCATGTTCTCCAAAAYTTTGTGTACMTSTGTGGACACTCCTGCCATTTGTGGGAATGCACTCCTGTGGACCTGCACGGGGATACTGAGGATAGTTCTGAAAGGCTGTTGAGGTTGGTTTAAGTTCTTAAAAAGCAAAAATCTTATATTCTTGTGAAATGGAGAAGGGATTTCTCTCCCCCRAGGTCAGCTAGACCAGAGCAGTCAGTCAAGCTTCCTCCCAGGTGGATCTGGAAGAGGATGGGGTGAGGAGGGCACAGGCAGAGATGTTGATGTGTCTGTGAAGTGCTCGCCTTGCAGGGCCCAGCCAGCCTGGACAGCAGCCAGTGCCACTCATCTGGGTGGTTTGGGAGTCCCAGGAGCACCAGGCTGTGACAGCAGCTTGTGCTGCACCAAACACCAAACACCAGTGAGGAGAAAAGGCTCTGGCTTGTCTCAGAGGTCAAACCCAGCCTGGAGGACTGAGCACGCCACAAACCCATCCAAACTCTTCCCTGAGGAGGCAGGAGCTTCCCTGGTGCATCCCACAGCCTCCCTGAGCCTTCAGCCCAGCTCATCCATCTCAGCTCTCAGGGAGTGCCTGGGGATGCCTCGTGGCTGAGCTGTACCTGCTTGGCTACCAGAAAGCAGCTTTGCCAGCCCAGCACGTTCATTTCAGATCCTTGGGGAGACACCAAGTATCCCTCAGCCAAAATGGGAATTTCTGGAAAGGGAAATRAAAACCCCCTCCAGCTCCTCAATAGAGCAGCAGTGCAAACACACCAACCTCTTCCCTGCGCCACAGATACTATAATTATAGATTAGATTAAATCCCAATGTTTCACTTTATTTACATTCCTGACCTAGCCTATTCATTTCCAGAGTTTGTGCCAAGAATCAGCACAAAATTTACTGGAAATAATATGGAAGTCATCAGGATTCCTTCCAGAGCCTTTCCTTGGAGTGTGTTCATATGCTGTGGAGGAGCCTTGACTTTACATTCCCTTTGCTGGCTCAGATGGGGTTTCCCCAGGATGATTGTGAACCAGCCCAAAGGCTCTGGGAGAGCACGTTTTAAGGGTGCTGGAAAGGTGGAAATCCCTTCTTAGGGGGTGAAGATTYAGGGCTGCTGTTGGAATAAAGGGGATTCAGTCAGAGCGCAGAGTGACAACGTGAGGCTCCCATTGCAGCCAGGACCCACCAAATCCTGCCCACCGAATCTGTAGGGTCTGCAGGCCATGAACAGCAGGGCCAGGCTCAGTCTGGGATAACATGATATCCCCTTTTTTGGGTGAGCTTAAGGAAAGAGGCCAAGGTGTGGAGCAGGGAGAGCCCGTGGGAGCACGGGGAGGCAGCGGCTGCAATCCCACCAGCTGAACGTGCTGAAGGAGCTGGCCCAGAGCAAGGCTGATGAATGCTGAGTGACCTCTGCCTTGTGCAGAGCCGGGATGAAAAGTGGAATGGAAAACCCTTGGTGCTCAAGAGCGTGTTAATGCTGGCAGCAGTCCCCTGCTCCTTATATGATGCTAATTGTTATTGTTGGTCTTCCGTCAGGSAGACACGTCAGTGAGGGCTGGAGCAATCGGACCCAGATCCCAAACAGCTCAGTGGCATGGGTTAAAACACATCTGTTGGAGCCCTTGGCCGAGTCCCCCGTGYGCACAGGAGCTGTGCTGCTCCACTGAACCCACTCCTCCCATTCCCGAGGCCGGGCAGTGCACGGCTGCAGTTTCTCCTCAGGCATTCCTGGCTTGCGGAAGCTCGAGCGAGGCAAGGCAGGAGCTGAACAAGTGCTTGCCAAATCCTGGGCCGGCTCTCCAAGCGATGCTTGTCCTTTCCCAGCACTGCAGGGCTGTGGCAGAGCCGGGCTCTGAGTGCTGSCTCAGGTGTGTGGTTGTTTTTGCTGAAGTGAGTCCAGCACGGAGCTCTCAGGGCTCAGCTGGGCTGTGTGTGGGTTACTGGCTGGCAGGGGGATTGACCCCGTGAAAGATGGTCTGTATTGAGAGCTCAGGGGCTCAGCAGAAGGGGATCATCCCTGCACTGATTTTAAAAAAGTCCCATTTGTGGATGCAGGTTGGGCTCCTGCTGAAGTTCCAGCATCAGGAAGGTGCACATCTAAAAACCACAGAGAAGACATTCATGCTCTTTTCATGGCCTAGGGGCTCTTCCCAGCTTCACCATTTGCTCTGCTGAGTGATTTAAGGAGATCACTTTGGGTTTCCCTCCCCAAATTCTCTGCTTCTGCTTATGCCTCATGCCACAGAGAGCAAGAGAAGMGCTCCTCCCATAGCTGTCTCCTCCCCACCC